AAAAAAAAAAAAAAAAAATCATCACCAAATTCAAGGTCATTTAGATTTTCTCATACGTTATTTCCTAGGAGTTTTATAGTTTTGTGTGTTACATTGCTGAAAATTAATACTGTCAACCTCAAATTCTGGATTAAGCAAAACTACTTTCACTCTGTCTAAAAAAAAAAAAAAAAAAAAACATTTTCAGACCACTCTTTGGGTAGTGTCCTTCCATATACTAGTCCTTTGATTCCTGAGTACAGAGGAAAGTCCTCATTCTTTGGCCTGGATACGGCAAATTCAGTGGCCCTGTAAAACGTTTTCAAGGAAGAATCTAACAAATAGTGGTCGAGGGGCTATTCTAGAAAATTTATACGTTGGCTGGCTTTTGTTTTTAATTGTTCAAGGTATATACTCCACATCTCATGGCAGAATATTTAAGATGTTTGAACCATAATTATAATGGTGACTCTGTATGTCTCCCTTATACAGCCCAACATTTCATTCTTTGTTTTATCGTCCAGACCCCTGGAATAAATAAAAGTAATTTTTTAGTTCTTGCTTCCTCATAGCCAAATTATTTGCCACTAAAAAAATCTTAGAATTGCTCAGTAACTTTTTGAAAGTAATTATTTTATATTTAAAAGTCACAATAGTCTTAAAAACAGGGCTAAAGCAATTGACTTTTCTCTTCAAAGGAGATACTTGCAACAAATAATATTGTCAAGAATATAACAGCCAATAAGCATATGTTCAGCATCACTAATCATTAGGAAAATGGAAATCAAAACTACAATTAAATTTCATCTTATACTCATTAGGAATGACCACTACAAAAAAAAAAAAAGAAAATAGTAAGTGTTGCCGAGGATGTGGAGAAATCAGAACCCTTATGCACTGTTGGTGGGAATGTATAATGGTACAGCCACTGTGGAAATCGGTATGATGGTTCCTCAAAAAATTAAAAATAGAATTACCATATAATTCAGCAATTCCACTTCTGGGTATACACCAAAAAGAACTGAAAACATGATCTTTTTTTTTTTGGAGACAGTCTCACTCTCTTGCCCTGGGTAGGGTGCAGTGGTGTCATCATAGTTCACTACAACCTCAAACTCCTGGGCTCAAGAGATCCTCTTGCCTCAGCCTCCCTAGTAACTGGGACTATAGGCGTGAGCCATGACGCTGGCTGATTTTTCTATTTTTAGTAGAGACGGGGTCTTGCTCTTGCTCAGTCTGGTCTCAAACTCCTGAGCTCAAGGAATCCTCCTACCTCTGCCTCCCAGAGTGGTAGGATTACAGTCATGAGCTACCACGCCCAGCTGAAAACAAGGTCTTGAAGAGATATTTGTATAGCCATGTTTATAGCAGTATTATTCACAATAGCTAAAATGTGGGAGGAACTCAACTGTCCATTAATGGATAAATGGATAAGCAAAATTTAGTATATATATACACAATGGACTATTTTTTAGCCTTCAAATGGAAGAAAATTTTGACATGTGCCACAACATGGATCAACCTTGAAAACATCAACCTAAATGAAATAAGCCAGTCACAAAAAGGTAAATACCATGTTTCCCCACTTATATGAGGTACTTATTCAAATTCAGAGACAGACAGAATGGTGGTTGCCAGTGATTGTGGGAGAGGGAAAAATGGGGAGTTATGTGGAGTTTCAGTTTTAAAAATGAAGAGTTCTGGAGATGGATGGTGGCAATAGTTATACAACATGATGAATGCATTTAATACCACTGAGCTGTATGTACACTTAAAAATGATTATGATGGGCCGGGTGTGGTGGCTCACGCCTATAATCCTAGCTCTCTGGGAGGCCGAGGCAGGTGGATCGTTTGAGCTCAGGAGTTCAAAACCAACCTGAGCAAGAGCAAGACCCTGTCTCTACTATAAATAGAAAGAAATTAATTGTCCAACTAATATATATAGAAAAAAAATTAGCCGGGCATGGTGGCGCATGCCTGTAGCCCCAGCTACTCGGGAGGCTGAGGCAGCAGGATTGCTTGAGCCCAGGAGATTGAGGTTGCTGTGAGCTAGGCTGACGCCACGGCACTCGTTCTAGCCTGGGCGACAAAGTGAGACTCTGTCTCAAAAAAAAAAAAAAAAAAGATTATGATGGTGCATATATATTTTTTTTAATAGAGACAGGGTCTCACTGTATGGCCCAGACTGGAATGCAGTGGTGTGATCATAGCTCACTGCAGGCTTGAACTCCTGGGCTCAAACGATCCTTCCACCTCAGTCTCCCAGCTAGGACTACAGGCATGTGACATTGAGCCTACCTAATTTTAAAAAATTTTTTTTGTAGAGACAGGGTCTTGCTATGTTGCCCAGGCTGGTCTTGAACTCCTGGCCCCAGGAGAGACTGCAATGAACTAAGATCATGGCATTGCACGCTAGCCTAGGTGACAGAGTACAATCCTTTCTTTTTAAAAAAAAAAAAGAAAAGAAAAAAAACAAACACACAAAATAGGATCCCATTTGTATCCAACTGAATGGCCAAATTAAGTCTGAAAATACCAAGTGTTGGAAAGGATGTAGAGCCAGAAGATATCTTTTACCTTATTGGGGTAAAACCACTGGGAAAATAGTTTGAAATTTTCTTTTAACGTTGGACATACATATACCCAATAACCCAGCAATTTTATTCCAAAATTTCTAAGAGAAACTCATTTAAGAATGCTTAATAACATTGCTTGTTTATAATAACAAAAAACTGGCCACTCGCAATTGACAGGAAAATAGATAAATTATAGTAGTCACACAATGGAATGCTACTCATTAATGAAAATGAATGATGTATAGCTATAGGAAATCATATGGATGACTCTTTTATAAAAACGTATTTAAGGCCGGGCGCGGTGGCTCACGCCTGTAATCCTAGCTCTTGGGAGGCCGAGGCGGGTGGATTGCTCAAGGTCAGGAGTTCAAAACCAGCCTGAGCAAGAGCGAGACCCCGTCTCTACTATAAATAGAAAGAAATTAATTGGCCAACTGATATATATATAAAAAATTAGCCGGGCATGGTGGCGCATGCCTGTAGTCCCAGCTACTCGGGAGGCTGAGGCAGAAGGATCGCTCGAGCCCAGGAGTTTGAGGTTGCTGTGAGCTAGGCTGATGCCACGGCACTCACTCTAGCCTGGACAACAAAGCGAGACTCTGTCTCAAAAAAAAAAAAAAACGTATTTAATAAAATAGCAAGTCCCAGAAAATTACATATATATTTTATTTTATATCATAAATATAGACTAATGACAGTAATGTGTCATGAATTAAAGATTAAGATTAATCTAATTCTGTGCACCTGAGGTCCACTTAAGAAAAACAAACATACATACCTCTTTACAAACTGGGCCTTTCTACAATTTGTTTTTGTGCTAATCAGAACTCCAAATAATGGTTACTCAAATGCTAGTTGTTGTTTTATAGGAAAATGGGTTAATGACTTTATATTGTATTCTAAAGCTCTAACTATGACTATTTTGAGTATATTTTAAGAAAACTGATGCTTTTTTAAAAAAAGGGTACCTAGGATAGTTAGTGATCTTATAAACTATAGCAGTTAGAGAACCAAAAGGTATAGAGCAAGAGAAAGGGATGCCTTGGAGAAGGATGGAGGAGAGAAAGAGAGAGGGGAAGATCTGAGAGTTAATTTTAAATATAATAACTGACATATGGAGAATGGACTGAATTTAGGTTTCTGTAGCATGGGATTTTATAAGAACCAATAAGAAAACTAATCCTAGTTCAATATAAAGTAAAACCTAATAATTAGAAAGTCTAGTACCTCTTATATTATCCTAGATGGAAATGGGGCCCACTCTACTAAGTGAAGTATCACAAAAATGGAAAAACAAGCACCACATGTACTCACCATCAAATTGGTATTAATCCATCAACACTTGTGCACATATGGTAGTAACATTCATTGGGTGTTGGGCAGGTGGGAGGGGGAAGGAGGGGATGGTTATATTCACACCTAATGGGTACGGTGCACATTGTCTGAGGGATAGACACACTTATAGCTCTGACTTGGCAGGGCAAAGGCAATATATGTAACCTAAACATTTGTACCCCCATAATATTCTAAAATTTAAAAAAATATATTAAAAAAAAAGAAAGTCTCAAAAATGATAGTCTGCTTTATAAGATGGTAAGCACCCTATCATGAGAAATATTTAGGTACTGGTTAATCACCCAGTCATTACAGTTATTGTATAGATGTTTCTTATATTGGATACTTCTAATACTAAAATTTTCTCATTTTATAAAACTGCATATAACCTTTTGTAATACTGGGTAAAGTGGCACTTATTTTACTCCTGAATTATTATTATTATGTTTTGGCTTATATATCATTCAATATTCATACTCACTGGTTTGATATCATTCTCCAAAGAAGCAAGGAAGTCTCCTCTTGTCACCTGCAGGCTCTCCGCTTTCTCCATGTCCACTTCCACTTTAGTACTGGCCTAAGTATAAATGAAAACAAAATGTAAGGACTTCCCAGATTTAAGAATATTTTCAGCCTAAGAATATAACACCTGAGGATAATAAAGTATATTTTCACAGATCAAAAACTCAAATCATATGTATAAGGGATTAATATCCAGAATATATAGAGAACTCCTAAAATTAAAAAAAAAACCCAACCCAATTCAAAAATAGGCAAAGGACTTGAATAGACATTTCTGAAAAGAAGATAAACAAATGGCCTTAAATGAGAACATGAAAAGATACTTAACATCACTAATCATTAGGGAAAGGCAAATCAAAACTACAATTAAATCTCACTTCATACCCATTATGATGATCACTACCAAAAAAAATAGAAAATAATAAGTGTTGGTGAGGATGTGGAGAAATCAGAACTCTTATGCACTGTTGGCAGGAATGTAAAATGGTACAGCCATTGTGGAAATTAGTATACCATATTAGTGAATTACCAATATGTATTAGTATACCAATTAGTGAATTACCATATGATCCAGCAATTCCACTTCTGGGTATATACCCCAAAAAACTGAAAACAGGTTCTTGAAGATATTTGCACAGCCATGCTTATAGCAGCATTATTCACAATAGCTAAAACATGGAAGCATCCCAAATGCCCAAAGATGGATCAATGGATAAGCAAAATGCAGTATATACATACAATGGACTATCTATTATTCAATCTTAAAAATTTGACATATGCTGCAACATGGATCAATCTTGAGGACATTATTCTAAGTGAAATAAGCCAGTCACAAAAAGACAAATACTTGGCTGGGCATGGTGGTTCATGCCTGTAATCCTAGCACTCTTGGAGGCTGAGGTGGGTGGATTGCTCGAGGCCAGGAGTTCGAAACCAGCCTGAGCAAGGGCAAGACCCCATCTCTACTATAAATAGAAAGAAATTAACTGGCCAACTAATATATATAGAAAAAATTAGCCAGGCATGGTGGCGCATGCCTGTAGTCCCAGCTACTCAGGAGGCTGAGGCAGAAGGATCGCTTGAGCCCAGGAGTTTGAGGTTGCTGTGAGCTAGGCTGATGCCACAGCACTCACTCTAGCCTGGGCAACAAAGTGAGACTCTGTCTCAAAAAAAAAAAAAAAAAAAAAGACAAATACTGTATGATTTCCCACTTATAAGAGGTACTTATTCAAATTCAGAGACACACAGAATGGTGGTTGCCAGGACTGTGGGGAGGAGGAAATGGGGAGTTATTATTTACGGGTACAGAGTTTCAGTTTTACAAGATGAGAAGAGTTCTGGAGATGGGTGGTGGTGATAGTTATATAAAGTTATAAATGCATTTAATACCATTGAACTATACACTTAAAAATGGTTATGATGGTAAATTTTATATGTATTTTAATACAATTAAAAAATTAGAAAAAACAAACAAAACATATCTCTCAAATTCACAAACATGTATACCCTTTTTCTAAACAATTCCATTTCTAGGAATTTATCCCATGAATACATTCACAAATGTATACAGCTACATGAACAAGGATATCTAGTATAATAATTTGTAATAACAAATGATTGGAAGCATAGTAAATGTCCATCATGAGGAGGCCAATTAAATAAAATAAATAAAAACAACACATCTGTGCCAAAGAACACTATATAGCCATTTTTGTAAAAAAAAAAAAAAAAGAGCCATGAGTAAGAGAAAATATATATACCGTCTTACAGAGAGTAAGAATAGTGAAAAATACATACAAAAAGAAAATACACACAAAGCATAAGAATAATGGTTTTCATCCTTGGCTGTACATCAGAATAACCCCTAGAGCCTTTCGAGATATATATTAATAGATGCCCAGCCCTACTGCCTCAGAATTTTAACAGGTCTACTAGAGTGCCCAGACGTTTACTGTTTTATAAAGTATAACAGGTGATTCTGATACTGAACCATGTTTAAGAACCATTACTCTAGGAGACCAAGAACCTAAAACTTTGATTTGAACTCATGCTTTTTGCTTGAGAATCTATATGCCAACTCCAGATATTCTACTTAGTGCACCTGGACCTAACACTTAGACATCTGGAGAAGCATCAAGGCCTTTATCAGCACTTGGAGCTGCCTAGACCTGATGAGTGATTAAGATACCAACACATTTTTTAATGCAACTGGGCTCACTACCAATAGCACAAAGGGAGTCTAATTTTTAAATTGGTATCATGGTTTTTTTTAAAAAAAAAATCTTTAAAAAAAGGTGACTATAAAATAAAAGCATGTTAAATAAATATCAACCTTCTGTTGATTATTATAAAATGAGTCATGTTCCTTTAGGAACAGACTGCTGAGACAAATGAAATGACAGACATGGAAAAAAAAAAGCCTGTGGGATAAAAAGAACCATATCAGGAAACTGGATCAAGATGGCAAACAGAACACATTAGGTGTCTCCCTTCCTGCCCCAAATCCCATGAAATGAAAGTGAGAGGGAATGGTTAAAAATCATGGGAGATAAATCCAGAAGTCTTAACACCAATCTAACAGGAGTCTCAGAAAGATAGGAAAAAAGGATGATAGAGAAGAAACAACAGAAGACAGAAGAGAAAAACATTTTCCACAGCTGAAGAAAGGTATGTTGTTGCAGTTTAAAGGATTCAATGAGTGGTCAGGATAAATGAAAAGAAACCTACATCTATCTACACCCACTGTTGTAAATTTTCAGAGCACCAAACATGAAGAAAAAAGTCCTGGAACCTTTCTGAGAGACAAAACCAGGTTGCCTGTAAAGAAACCAGAATAAGACTGGTATGATAACTCTCCCTGGCAACACTAGACTAGAAGACAATGAAACCACATCTTCAAAATATGTCTGAGTATCTACCCTGGAAAATGACTCTGCTATATAGATAGAGAGGGACAGGAGAGCATTTTCACAACAGTATTATTTTCAATAGCTACAACTAGAAATAATCTATATGTTAAATATGCTGTTTACTCATTCATTCATTGTATTAACTGAATGCCTACCATACACCAAGCACTGTTCTAGGAACTAGAGACATAGTAAATAAAACAGACAAGGTCCCTGTCTTCACAGTCTTACATCTTAACACATTAACTACTATGTGAGTTGCATTTAACTCATGCTAGGTTTGAGCCCAGGGCCTCATGAAGCCTATGTAACTAACACGTCTGTTTACCTTGGGAGCTGTGTGGTACACAGGCAACTCACGCTGCCATGCTGCAGCATACATGTTACATGATAGGTGGCCCCCTGGGCAAAATCTTGCAGTTGGTTTGTGAAAATCTTACTTATTGGTGTTCTTATTGTTACAATTAATATTGACAATTTAATGGCATATAACTCATGCACAGAAAACAATAAGAAATAACAAAGTTTTCATTAAATTAAAAAGGATCGTTTTGTTTTTTAAGTTTTTATTCTATTTTTGTAATATAACATCATGGCCCCAAGAAAAAAAATTTTTTTCTAGTGTGACAGTCAATGTGTTAAATTATGTGGTAAGAGTCTAGAATACTGTGCATATGTCCAAAATGTACAGGCACTGACATGGAAAGCTATCCAAGACAGACTGGCAAGTAAAAAATGTAAATTACAGTACAATTCTATTAATGTTCATTTTTTTAAAAAAAGCACAAATGTATATGCATGTAAATGTAAAGAAAACAAACTATAAAGGTATCTCCCAAATGTTGGTTAACTTAGGAGATGGAAAGGAAAAGCTTGTTAGAGATGACCTTTGTCATTTTTCCCTACATGTTTTAGTATCCTTGAATCTTTTTTTTTTTTTTTTTTTTTTTTTTTGAGACAGAGTCTCGCTTTGTTGCCCAGGCTAGAGTGAGTGCCGTGGCGTCAGCCTAGCTCACAGCAACCTCAAACTCCTGGGCTCGAGTGATCCTTCTGCTCAGCTCCGGGTAGCTGGACTACAGGCATACGCACTATGCTCGGCTAATTTTTTTTTTTATATATAATCAGTGCCAATTAATTTCTTTTACTTTATAGTAGAGACGGGGTCTCGCTCTTGCTCAGGTTGGTTTTGAACTCCTGACCTTGAGCAATCCACCCGCCTCGGCCTCCCAAGAGCTAGGATTACAGGCGTGAGCCACAGCGCCCGGCCATCCTTGAATCTTTTACAAAAAAATATATCCATGTATGACTTTTACACTTTCAAAAAGAGAGAAAATAATAACATTTAAAGCAGGGGTCCTCAAACTTTTTAAACAGGGAGCCAGTTCACTGTCCCTCAGACTGTTGGAGGGCCAGACTATAGTTTAAAAAACACTATGAACAAATTCCTATGCACAATGCACATATCTTATTTTGAAGTAAAAAAAACAAACGGGCAAAAACACCCATATGTGGCCTGCAGGCCGTAGTTTGAGGATGCCTGATTTAAAGAGACAAATATTCTACTTAATAGAACAATTAACATTTAAATTATTAATAGAACTTTCACTGGCACATGTAAGGCATTTAATAAACATTAATCACATTTATTTGGCATTTCTAAGTTTAAAAAAATGGTGTTATAGGAAACAGGCATCTCCATGAAAGAATTATGATAGTCCACAGTTTATAAATGTTTATAGTTCTTTCTAGTTTATAAAGTATGTTCATAGATGTTACCTCATTTTATACTTATACAAATTTGGAGACTTTCATAAGTCATTAAGGGTAGATACAGGATTTCCCTCCTAGGTCCTCTTAATAAAAGGGTTGATTCTGATTAAAACTTTTTTTTGCTGGGTGCGGTGGCTCACGCCTGTAATCCTAGCTCTCTGGGAGGCTGAGGCGGGCAGATTGCTTGAGGTCAGGAGTTCGAAACCACCCTGAGCAAGACCGAGACCCTGTCTCTACTATAAATAGAAAGAAATTAATTGGCCAACTAATATATAGAGAAAAAATTAGACAGGCATGGTGGCGCATGTCTGTAGTCCCAGCTATTCAGGAGGCTGAGGCAGTAGGATTGCTTGAGCTCAGGAGTTTGAGGTTGCTG